TGTGTGTGTGTGAGTGTGTGTGTGTGTGTATGTGTGTATGTGTGAGTGTTTCTACTGGCGAGAACAATCGTCAGATGAAGGCCTAGATCTTTGTTCCTCAGACATAACACTGTGACACAAAGAAGTTCTATGAACATTTATTGGTCAGTAAAATAAGGAATTATCAGGATATTCTTTTTTTTTAAAAGCCAGACCAACAATTGCAGTTGAAGAAAAAGAACCAGCGGATATTCGCCTGGATCCAGATGAACTTAATCCACAAAAAACAAAAATTAAAAATTAATATGTAGAATAATTGTAATTGACAAAGGAGACACTGGGGTAAACATTGAATCGAACATGTATTCAAAAAGCGCAACTTTTTCAGCTTACGAGTATGTTACGTTTATTTATTTTTTGTTTGTTGTCAGTGATTTTTTAAATTTTGTTTTCTGTATTTGCCTTTTCTTTAATTGAGAAAAAAATAGCCATTAATAAGAAAAGGAGAATGAAAGGCCCATGCTCTGAAATAATTCTCTGTGATCCTATATTTCAGCTTCATCCTTCGAAGTCAGCCTTGGAATTTTACGTCGTGACCAAACTCAAAATATTGATAACTTCTGTGTGTCGTTCCTGAAGCTGGATTGGTGGTAATGGCTTGTCCTCTTCCAGCGAAAGACGACAACTCGGGTCTCAAGATCTGTATTATTGATTTGTTCATCTAATACAATTCTCACAGGGAACAAGAGCAATTTATTCCAAGAAAAAAAAACCCACCTAATATATAACATGACTTCATATTTTGACTAGTATCAAATCTATAACTAGTATCCCGCTTTGTTACCAAAAAGTTAGAATTTGGGTTTTTAGGAAATAAGAATAATAAACCTTAAGACCCATACCAGACATTTACGGAGTAAGAAAAACACGTGAGTGATTCATCAGGGACAGTTTATTCAGTTTGGTCAACCATCAGAAGGTCCTGGTTCGCATCCCGGTCCTGAGGTGGACATAAGAATGACCGCTGCAGTAGCTGTCATGTCGGCGTCCAGCACACCCACTCTGCCCAAGCGTCACGGCTTCTCTATAGAGTCCCTCATCGGAAAGCCGGACAATGTGTCCCCGACCCCACCACCACTGCCGCCTACAGCCATATCTCTGCAGCAGCCGTCCTTGTCTCTGGCGCATACAGAAGCGACAGCAGCAGCAGCAGCAGCAGCAGCAGCAGTGTCACCAGCATCATCAGCAGCAACATCTACGATGTCGAAGACTGCTGCTGTTACCCCATCTCCACCCCCTCAAAGACCTCTTCCCATCCGACCCTCTGTTCTCGGAGGTGCCAAAGAAGACAGACATCATAGTAACATTATTGTTGACAGAGAACGGGAATCTTTGAGAGACAGGGAGTTGAGAGAATTCAGAGACAGAGAAGTGACGCGAGAGCGTGAGAGAGATTTGGAAATTCTTCGTGATAGAGAAGCGCGAGAAAGAGAACTCGTGTTAGAGAGTATGCGCGAAAGAGAACGGGAGCTGAGAGAACTCCGCGAAGCCAGAGACAGAGAAATAGCCAACCGGGAGAGAGAGATGCGTGAACTCAGAGACAATCGGGATGGCCGCAGTTCGAATCCCGCAACCGCTGGCCTCCTCCACCACGCTCATTCCTCTCCTCGTTCTCTCACTCCTCCCAGTCCAAGACTCGAAAAATCCGCATCTCCGGAGACAGAAAACAGACTAAGTGCCTGGTCGGGTGAGGAATTCAAACACCTTCTGGGCAACTTCCATGGCGGTCAGCTCGATTCCAACGGACTATACCAGCCCTTGAGAGTGTGCAATAGAGCTTTAGCATCCATGAACGGCATTGGCCACGCGGGACCCCCTGGACCTCTTGGAGTCGGGGTGCCCCCTCAGTTCGCTCACCTACCTATCAATCCGTTGTTGTATAATTTACCACGTGACTTGTCACCCCAGACTCATCCTTTGTTGGCCGCCAGATACCCGGGATTCATGCACCCGCGATATCCAAGTAAGTATAAATCAATTCAGTCTGAAATGGATAAAAGGATAAATCGATCAACGGGATTGCTCAATCCATTTTTATTGATTTTGTAATTTGGTCAAACTGCCTATCCTCACTCCAAAGTTCTACCTCCCCCCCCCACACATACACACAC